TGATTATCTTCAAGCCTGTGGTTACAGCAGGGATTTTTTCTCTCCTCCTGACCGGCACTGCCTGTTCTGTATCACCCCATGGCGTCCCTTCATATCTCTTCCGGGATGGAGCTGTCCTGGGAGAGTCTCTGGGCTGTGTCATGTTGTAAAGCCACCCACAGAGTCTCCTTCACCAGTAAAATCCTTAGCAGTGCCAGCCATTTTTGTTGGTCAGAGGTGCAGGACCCCAGAAGCCTTACAAGTCAATACAGCTTTGAAATCTCTGAACACGGCTCCAGATCCGATCCGGCAGCTCACTTCCCCGGGAATGGCTGCCTTCCAGGAGATTGGGTTGTGTGTCTGAGGTGCAGTTAGCAGCTGAATGACTGATTACATGGTATTTTAGTAACATTTTTCCAAAAGGCAAAATACTGAAAAGCAATTCAGATAATGTATTTCCTGCCCCCTCCTCCGCCATGCAGGATGACAGAGTAGGAAAAACCTGGTGTGGGTTTCACTGTGGTTTGCAGAAAGGGTTTGTGCCAGTAGTTCAGCCTCTATCAGAAAATAATGCTTATGTGTAAAACCTCTCTTGTTTGTTTGTTTTTTATTCCAGATGTAGAAGGTCAAGACATTGAAGAGGTTAGTGCAGATGTTTCTGCTTACCAAGCCTGCATTTTCTAGAGGAGTGGTTTTGTAACCACGGTTGGTGTGTACTAAACAGTTTTTAATGCCTGCTGGAACAGGTGGGTCCTTCCAGGAAGTCCCGACAATTTGGGGAATTTACTATTATGCAGAGGATGTCATATGTGGCCATGTTAGCAAGTAGACCAGAGAAATGGATGGTTGGTTTATCAAATGCCTCCCATGATTAGGTGTGGAGTGCTTGCACAAGGATGTGTTTGTACACAACACCATTTTTGTCCAATTTGCTCCACTGTCCAATCTTCTCATGAAACAACTGGACTATCGAGAGTGTTTTATTCCCCTCAACAAGGTCCATCAATGGGACTTGTCCAGAGGCAGAATTCCTGTACATTTCCTGGACACCATTTTTAATTCCCCATAGGCTGTAGTTTTCTCCTCCTCCTCCTGGGAAGGCAGAAAGCTCAGCAAGCACCAAGCTGAGTGCATGCTTTCGCAAGACGCACGAAGCCACGCAGCAGTGAGCTAACTGCACGCCAAATGCCTGACAGAGCATCAGTGCTGACTCTTCTACATGCCTAGGCTAATCCACCCATGTCTTTGGGAGATCAAGGCTTCTCCCAGGTGACTACAGTTTCCGTCCTCAAACATGGGGCAAAAATTCCCCTGAAACACTGCTTCTGCTCATTTCTGATGGGGCTTTTTCTTTCATCACTGCTGCTTGTCAGAAAAAGCATTGTATTAGTGGCCTTTTATCCAATTTGGAAGGTGAAAGAAAGAGTGGGGGAGTCCTGAAAGGGCTTTTTAAAAATTATTCCTTTTTCAGATTTGCAGAGAGTTTGTAAACAGAAGCGTGTACTGCACAAGAGAGTCCAACCCGCACTGCGGCACGGATGGCATCACGTACGGAAACAAGTGTGCCTTCTGCAAGGCAGTGCTGTAAGTGAAAGCAGAGGGGACTGAAATAACAGAGACTTGGCTCCATTTCCATGTATGTAGCGATGTTCTTCACAGAGGGGAGGCCCTGTGTCCAGGCTGTTCCACTTACAAGGATCAGTCCCTGAATTGTGCCAAATGGAATATTTCCTCCTTGAAAGAGAGCTGTCTGAATGCAAGTTAATTTTAATTCATTTCCAGGCTTTGCACGCTGCCTGTTGCCATGCTGAGAGGCAGCACGAGGCCTGGGAGGCAATTGCATCCAGGCTGTGCCTTCTGCACGCACTAAATCGATGCACATATCCCACTGCATGACACAGGCTGCAACTCACACTGCCCACACTTCTGGATACTGAGAAGTGTCTGGGGGAATGCGGGAACTGAGCGGTGCCAAATTATTCCTGAAAAATCTGAATGGATTTTGTGGAACAAGACACAAAATCTCAGAGGAAGAATCTGAGTTTCTCCTTTTCCTGAGCTCTGTCACCTTTTAAAGGAGATGCAATAGGAGCCAGCATTCCTGGACTGAGGGTGCTTGCAAAACATTGTTTTATTCCTTAGCAGTCCTTAACATTTGGTGCACACTCAAGGCTGCCTCATCCTAGGGAAAATCAGAGAGGAGAAAATGGCTTGATGTTCCCTGTGAGGCATCAGGGCACACTGGCATGAGTCAGGCAAATGGGCCAGTTCAGACAGATGAGGTCCTTGTCCCATGCTGCTGTGTCTGTCGTATGCTGCTTTATCTAAGTCTGTCTTGCTCCTTTTACAGGAGAAGTGGAGGGAAAATAAGATTGAAGCACCTGGGGAAATGCTGAGTCCTCAGTGTCACCAAGCAGCAGCAGCTGAGCCCCCGTCAGCAGCGGCCGTGGATGCCTGTGCACAGACACAGGAGCAGCTTGCCTTCATTTCCACCGTCTCTGCTCAATAAAATAAAACTCAACACCATTCTTTGGCTGGATTCCTTTTTCCATAATACCCATAAAAGCGCTTTGATACAGCCGTGCTAGAGCCGAACACGTGGCTTCGCTACGCTGCGCTCTTACACCACCCTCCCCAAGCACGGCGCTCCCTGTGGTTCCCACGGCTGCCATGGGCTGTGTCCTCCCATCCCCAGCAGCCTTAGCTCCCTGTCCAATCCTGCAGAACTGGCACAACCCTGCCAGGCAGTCAAGCACTGCAACTGCTCGTAGGGTCCTGCCCTGTGCTCCCCATCCAGGGGTGGGTGCCAGTGGGTGCCATTACCCATTCTTCGTAGACGTGCTCCTTCCTTTCTCCGAGGTTTTTGTGGGAGGGTGACAGGAGAGCTGGAGAACAGCGTGACTGCCTATGCCTCATCTCCTTTGGAAACCAGAGACAAACAAGCCAAGGCTAGGGAATGCTGCTCCGTTTAAGCCTACAACAAGAAGATGGCAGGTGGAGGCTGGTTTTAGGCAAAAGCCACAAAGCTCTTCTTTCCAAATCAATCTCTTTCTTCTTCCTTCTAAGAGAACGTTTTGTCTTGGAAACTGTGAACTCACCAGTGTTAGTTTTCTGCTGCCAAGTGGTTTCTCATGCTAATAAAATTATATTTAGAAGAGCACCAGATTGTATAAAGTGTCAATAATTTAAAAAGAAGTATTCCCTGGAGGAGAAGAGCTGTGGGCTTTCTCTCCTCCCCTCTAGGGTAGACCGTCCCTGGATCATACAGAGATCTTGATTTTCTAGGCACAACTATTTGTATTTATTTACAATTCTTATTGCCCATAGGCTTTATTCCTTTCTTCACTTTTCATACTGCTGCCCTCGCTCATCTTGATGCTGGCTGGACAATCCTTCTTTGTGCAAACATGAGAAAACGAATTCTATACTCTCTCCCCTTCAACTGCGCAAAATTCTCACAGGGAAATACCTGTGGATTCCCCTTGTTAAAAAATTGGCAGTAGATCAATGGAGCACCAGCTCCCTCATGTTAGACACTTAACTTTCAAAGGGAGCTTTAGATTTTAACATGAGCCTCAGGGGTCAACATATTTTGCAAGCACCTTAATGCTTCTAAATGCACCTAAACCTCTCAACCTTGTTAGGACACAGCCGGAGTGTTTGCCTATCATGCTACAATCCACACTTTGAACTCAATTGGGGCACAATGCCTAAAAAAAAGGAGGCCTTACCAATGCACTCAGCACACCCAATGCTGGCTTCTCTCTGGATAATTCACATTTGTGATGCCAGTTCTTGCAAATTCTTTGTCATTTGGTAACTTCACAGGCAGCGTGCAGGCAGCAGTGGTTGAACTGCGTAGGCAAAGCTCCATGTTGGCTGGTTTGGAGCTTCTCTTGGACCAGCTGCCTTTGATCCTAATGTTTTTCCCATCCCAGCCTACTTGGTTCTTGCAAAATCTGCCACCTCTTTGTGAAAGCAGACTGACCCTCTCTGTGTCCCGTGTTGTACAGCCAAGGGACGTGTTTGGTTTCAAATTCAGATGTTACATGAATAAACTCAACAGCAAGACATCTGGAACATGGACAAGATTGAGGGGAGCCAGAAATATCTCCTGGACAAGGACGAGGGGTCACAAAGGACATGTTGGGAAACTGGGAGGACCTTCCTCATCAATCCTCCTGCTTGGAGCATGATGACCTCTGCATGTTCTCTCCTACCTGAATCATTCTGTGATGATTGAATTATGTTGTGTGGCTCTGGACCAGCACCATATTCAGAACAAGGAAGCAAAAGGACACAATTTTTAAGATGGAAAGCGACATTTTAATAGGAGAAGGAGTATGGGACTTGTTTGTGCTTGAGATGGTCCTCAGTGACTCAAAAAAATCTCACAACATACTCCTATATCTAATCCTTTTTATTCTGGAGGCTGAAATGACAGGGACAGACCACAAGAGAACAGAAGCAGCTCAAGTTCACTATTTGGTAACCATCCTGTATTTAGCTTTTCCAGTGCAAATAGCAAATAAAAACCTCAGTACCTCTACAGACCCAAACACCATCTCCTCCACCTGTGCCGGGGAAGTGGAGAATGGAAGTCATCTCCTTTGAGGAAATTATCTCCCCCAGCTGAGGAAATGTCCCAAAACTTCCTCCCCAGGAGAGGCCAAGAGAGGCAGTGTTACACCAAGTGAATGGCTTCTGTTGGTCTGTCCTTCTGGCTGAACAGGCACATTGCTCTGGTTAACCCAGGCAGCAGTGATGCTTTCTTTGCTGGTGCTGTCTCTGTTCACTCTTGGTTTCTGAGTGCTGTGCTTGCCTTCCCAGCAGGGCTGACGGATGCCGGGGACTGGGCAGGAGTGCGGCAGTGGCCACAGGCCTGAGCTCCCAGCCAGGTTTGGCTGCCTTCCTGCACATGTACCAAATCAGAAACCAAACTTCAGTCACGAGTTTTCCTTCGATTTCCTTCCTTCACCTTTTGAGATGTGTTGGGTTTTGGGGAATTTTTCTGACAGCTTTGAAAGGTGAGTCATGATAGATTTGAGATCTCTCTTCTATTAGTTAGATAACATGAGTGTCTTCATAGATTTTGCCTCCCTGGAGAGAAAGCGCCCTTAGCTACAGGGCAGAGGCTGGGGTGGGAGCTGCCCCAGCATCTTCATCACTGTCAAGACCTCTCCCTTGCAGCAGAGTAAGGGCCCTGTGCTCCCGGCATCTCACTCAGTTCCCTCCTAGCAGTTAAAATAACGGGCGAATTACACTTGTGCATGATTGCTCTAACTGAAAGAAACACACTGCTCACAACTGAGCACCCTCCTGTGACCAGGTTGTGCACATGGCAGAGGGGAAGGATGAATTGCCATCTCACAGCTTCACTCTGCTGCTGATGCAGCTGATACATTATTGTGTCCAGGCTCTTGGCCCATTTAACTTGTGAACTTCACTGCTTCCTCCTCCTCCCCCACCACAGGCACGTGTCACTGTCGCAACTCAGTTGAATCCTTTGTCCTACTTTTTTCCCTTGACATTCACAGTGTTTGACAAGGCTTTTCTAACTGCCATGGGATGATCTTGGGTGGTGGTGCTGACTGCAGGGTTTCCACAGCTCGGCTGTGGAGGAAGCTCTGGACTTGGTGGTCATTCCGGTTGACCCTCTTTTCCCTGAAAGAAGGCAGGCTGGATCAGGCTGGAAGAGACTTTGGTCCAACCTCCCACTCACGGCACGGTCAGTTCTGGGGTCGCACCAGGTTGCTCATGGCTTTATCCAGTCTAGCACTGAAAACCTCCAAGGATGGAGATTGCACAGTCTCCCTTGGCTACCTGTCCTAGGGTTTGACTGTCATCATGGTAAAGAAATCTTTCCTTGTATATGGTTTCAACCTCTTTTCTTTCAACTGTCTGATTGCCAAGCCATGAACCGCCATGAGGAGCCTGGCTCTGTCTGCTCAGTAACCTCCTTGTTCACTGGTGGGCTGCTCTATGTCCCCTCAGGCCTTCTCACCAGGTCAAACAAGCCCACCTCTCACCACCTCACCTTCCAGAGCAAATGCTCTTGCCCCCAGCTTTCTTGGTGACTCTCCACTGAGCTTTCTCCAGGTTTTTAATGCCTTTCTTGTACTGGGGAAGGGAGCAAAACTGAATATGAGAAGGAAGGCTGAGCTATGGGGAAAAGGAAAAGGATTGCTCAGGGAGTAGGTGGGAGAACTGTAGGAGTATTCCAGGGGACTGAAAATATGTAAATAGTGACAGTCGCAGGGAGCAGCAGGTGGGTGTCAGCATATGTTGGGTCCTTTAAGGATTAGAGAGCAGCTGGGCCTGCTCTGGGATCAAATGGCTCCCAGATGCTGGGAGTCAGCCAACAATTTCCCCCCATCCCCATCACAGTTGATGAACTTAAATAGGAGCCCATGGAAAGCACTTGGCTGTTTTTGCTGACTCCAAAGGAGGTAGAAGGTTTGCTTTCTGGGGTGAGAGTTTTAGTATTTGTTTATTTTTTTGGTTGGTGGGTCTTTGGGGTTTTTTTTTGTTTATTTGTTTTGGGGTAGCTTTTTTCTACTTTTCTCTGAAATAAGCAGTGAGGTTTAGGAGCTTCTCATAGGAGTAACTCAGTGATTATGGCTGATATTGGTATCTTATGAGGCTGCTCTAAAAATGCTGGGGAAGGCTTATAAAATGTATGTGAGAGACAAGCTTTACCACAATACGTAAAGAGAGAACAGAGGAAGGCATAAGATATATCCCCATGGGAAGGTAGGTGTTGCATAAGGAATTGCTTGTGTTAAATCTCCAGTGATGAGGTGGTGCTTAGAGGCACCTCTTTGGCCTCTATACCCATGGGGCAGTGGGGGACCAAGGCTTCAATAACACCAGTTCCTTGGGTCTCTGGAGGAAGCAGGGCTTCAGCAAAGCCTTAATCAGTATTTGAAAGAGAAGGTTAAAACTGAGCTTCTGCTGGGCCTGGAGGAATGCCCTCACTAACCTGGGGCTGGTCCCATGCAACAGCTTCAGTGCTTGCAGCAGGGTTGGGCCTCGTACCTGGCATGTGGAGTGAGGCTTGCCCAGGGACGAGGAAAAGGTGGTGATGCTGTGTGATACAGTGCTTCCTTTTCTGAGCTAAAATTGCCCAATTAATTGGGAGTGAACAGAAATGTCAGCGTGACGGCAAAGGCTGGCTGTGACACTTCTGGCCTTCTTCCTCAAGAATGCCGTGCCTTTTTTGGGGAGGGTGACTTTATAGAGTCACCTGTGAGAAAGCCCTCAGCTGCCTGGGCCCTGCCCTGCAAACGCATCCTCCTGGCATCTGCTGCTGCCAGACAGCCCCTCAGTCCTTATTCACAGCCAAACCGGTGAGAGGATGCTCCGGTTTGGTCTCATTAAGATTGCTCATTAAGAA